GGTACATTGCTTCGTGATCTGTAAGTCAATGTCCTTCTGAATCCATCCTAGCGGGTATGGCTTAGGATATGGTGGTGTCTAAACCCACTTTTGTTACCAAAGCCTCTGAAATCAGGTTTTTTTGACTTCCAGGGTCAATGATAGCTTGTACAACACTCTGCTTCACCTGAATATTCACATGAAACAATTCTTCACGGTTGTACATGTCTTCAGTAACTGCTGGTCTTGTCATAAGGGTAAGTGTAACATCAGGTTGCTTCAACTCTGGAAGCTCTTCTGCCTATTGTGTAGGTGGCTTTTTGTCATTTCTCCCCTGGTTGTTTTTCTCGTGCTTTGGCCGCAACTCAGGATGGAGTATCCAACACTTGTCTTTGGCATGTCTGCTGGTTTGATAGTGATCACAGTAGACCTTCTATGTCTGATCCTTGCTCTGCTTCCCCTTTTTCTGCCAGTCAGTTTTGTTGACAGGTTTTGATCTGTCATCCTTCTTGTTAGTTCTTTTATTTTTCGCCTCAATGGCGATGGCCTTGACCGTAGCTTCTTCAATAGTATCTACGGTGAACAATTTTAGTTCTTTCTGTATGTAGTCAACAAGACCTCCGGTATACTTCATCAAAATGTCATAATCGTCGACGTCAATGTCCAGAATCATAGCTTGGTTGTGGAACTTTGTTGTATACTCTTGTATAGGCTGCCCAAATCTTTGTCTGAAATGTTGCCACTTATACCATCTTTCATCTTCATAGCCAACTGGATAAAAGAAATTTCTAAAAAGCTTCCTGAAGTTCTTCCAAGTCAATTCTAAGACATCATACAATCTCTAATAGGACTTCCACCATGTAAGGGCATGGCTTGAAAGTTTCAAACTCGCAAATTTTATTTTTTACACATTAGAATACTTATAAACTGTGAAATAAGTTTCTAATGTGTCTATCCAGTTATCTAGCTTTTCAAGATCAACATCTCCTTTATATATAGGGATGTCAACCTTAAAATCAATTTTTAAGGTATAAATAGAATTTTTGTTGTCACCTGATTCAGCTTTCTTTTTCGTTGGATCAGCTTGTGTGTTGTCTTCATCTTCGCTATCCTCAACAACCTTTTTCTTGAGCTTTTGATCAAGCTCATATGATGAAGTTGATGGACGTGAAGGTTTTCTAGTCTTCAAACTCTTCACGAATTTAAGGATTGATTCAGACAAGTTTTCAACTTGCTGCTCAAGCTTAGTGATGCGATCGCCATCACTAGATGTATCCTGTTTGTTTTCTCCAGTCATCATGTCTCTCTTGGACATTGGTTTTCAGTGTACGAGCAAAAGACCTAAAAGTTCTTCTCCTGAAGCTTTGCATTGGTTGTGAGTTGAGACTATAAACCACCGTCACCCTCTTGGATCTGGTGCTCTGATACCACTTGATCCAAAACTTCTAGTCGATAGAACTATGAATCCCTATTTTATAGGAATAAGGGAACAAGAGGAATTTTAAGACAATTAGAGAAACAAAAGGAAGAAGCTAAGGAACTATTTTGAGTTCAGCTAAGGTACTATTTCATTCATCAAATGAGGTTTATGTACAAGTTCATCGTCCTAAATTAGCAAACTTAAAATAGCAATTGTTTTTAAACCTACATACATAAAACCATACAAAGTTGGTGGTTTAAAACCAATTGTTTTAAACCACAAATTATTTATGGTTTTAAAATAATTAAATAATGATATAATAGTATATGCAAGATCCTCCTAGATCATCATGTCATCCAAGACAACTGTAGATATCAGGTTGCATTTTGAGAATCGTGTAAAAGATGGAGTGTTTAGGCATCCGGCAGATTCTGAGGCTCGAAAATCGTTCGATCAAATTCATTAGTCATTTGGTATGGAACCTCGAAATGTAAGACTTGGTTTGGCAACAGATGGATTTAACCCTTTTGGGAACATGAATAAGCACTATAGTATTTGGCCGGTTCTCATATACCTATATAACCTTCCTTCGTGGATGTGTATGAAGGAGCCTTATGTTTTCATGACTTTACTTATTCTTGGATCCAATGGTCCATGTCATGACCTTGATGTATACATGAGGCCGTTGATAGACGAGTTGCGAATATTGTGGGAAATTGGTGTTGAAACGTATGATACATATGCAAAGTAGAATTTTCAGTTGAGAGCTGCACTTCTTTGGACTATCAATGATTATCCAACATATGCATACATGTCCGGTTGGAGTACGTCTGGAAAATTGGCATGCCCATATTGTGCATCTGATGCTTCACATCATCGATTATCTCATGGGTCTAAAACTTGTTACTTGGGTCATAGACGATTTTTACCGTCACACCACGTATGGCGTAATCAACGAAGCCAATTTGACAATACAAGGGAAAGGAGGCTTACACCCAAGAGACCATCTGGTGATGATGTGATAAATGAACCTAGTGAATTAAGAGAAATAACATATGACAAGGATGGGAAAAAGCATACAATACCTGGGTTTGGAAAAGATCATAACTGGAAAAAAAACATTCAATATTTTTCCAATAGAATTACTGGAAAACACTTTTGATGCGCCACAACTTAGATGTCATGCACATTGAGAAAAATGTATTTGAGAATGTGATTGGCACAATGATGAGCATTGATGGTAAAACAAAATATTCTTTAAATGCTCATCTTGATCTTCAAGAAATAGGTATAAGAAAGAGGTATCATCCAGAAGAAGGAGATGATGGTAAGCTCTATTTTATCCCAGGTGATTATACATTGTTAAATGATGATAACAAAGCTTTATGTCAATGGTTAATGGAGTTGAAAGTTCCAAATGGGTACTCTAGAAATTTATCTCGATGTCAGTGAGCCTTTGATTGAATTATCGTACTTTCTCAATCAAATTGTCATTTCTTTATGCAAGTTGGAAAAAATATTCCCTCCCGTCATCATGATTCACCTAGCTTGCCACTTGGCATGGGAGGCAAAAGTGGCCGGTCTAGTACAATTCAGGTGGATGTATCCTGTGGAAAAGTAATGTCAATGTTTAGATATTAATTTTATTTACAGTTTGTTTAATTGTTGATGTATAATTCTCTAATTCCAATATTTACTACATAATTAGGTATTTGTATAAGTTGAAGACTTATGTTCATAATAAGGCTCATTTAGAAGGGTCTATTGCTGAAGGTGTCTTGGGAGATGAGTGTTTAATATTTTGCTCTCGCTACTTGCATTGAGTTGAAACTAAGTTTAATAAAAGAGATAGAAATGACGATGGCGGTCAACCGTCATATGATACATCTCAGTTGTCTATTTTCTCAACACCTGGTCGAGCTTTTAGGACTTAGAGAGATGAGCATCGAATTTCACAAGGCTGCCACTTATTACGTCCTACAAAATTGTGATGAAGCTTTGCCATTTGTCCAGTAAGAAATCTTCAACACTATAGATTCTTTGTGTATTTAATATGTTAGTATTTATTTAGATCTAATATGTAGCTGTATTAATTTGAATATAATCATTTGTTATGTATGCAAAGAACATAAGAACATCCTAATTCAGTCTAGTGTTGGTAAGGTGGAGGAGTCACATAGGCTTCAATTTTCAAATTGGATTTCTAAAAGGGTATGGATAATATTGTATTAGAAAAACTATTGACATATATATATATATATATATTTATTTATTTATTTAAAACTACTTTTTCCCTTCTATGCAGGTCACAAAACTATACAACGATGGTAAAGTTAGTAAGCAAATGCTTTCTTTGGCTCGAGGACCTGAAAGGTGAGTAACTTATTATCCTGGTTATTATATTAGTGGTTTTAGGTTTCATGCATTGCAGTGTGATGAGAATAAAAAAAACACAAAATAGTGGAGTTATGGTTAAGGTAGAGAATCAGATCGACAATGTGCCTTGATATGGAATCAGATAGACAATATTGAGCTCTGTTACATAGAAGGAAATAGATTTGTATTGTTCAATTATGATTGGTATGACACAATACGAAAAGGAATAGGTTACAAGATAGATCGTTATGGAATAATCACTGATAATACATCATGCAAGCTAAATATTCAAGAGCCATTCGTACTAGCAACCCAAGTTTTTTTATGTGAAAGGGGTTAAAAATAAGATTTGGAGTTTTGTAGTGGAAACAAATCCAAGAAACGTTTATGGGATGAATGACGATGAGAGTGAGCCATACCAAGAAGCAGAGACTCAAAGTCGAAGCATGCATGCCATCCAAAATGATGTTGAAGACAATGAAACTGATTGAAGAATGGATGCAATTCAACTTACAATTGTAGGATGAGTTCTCATGTAATTGTGATTGTTTATTTTTTTGGATTGGCTATTTTTAGTTATTTAGTTTGGAGTGTGGTTGACTATTAACAATCAAATTCTTTAATTATTATTTTTGGTTATATACAATTATGATGAGTTTTTAATTATCAATTTTTTTGTCCTCTATTTCTAAAATAAATGAAAGCCATTTTGGGAAATGTTAATGAGCTTCGGAACTTTTAACATGTAAGATTACACAATTTAATGGGATAAGTATTGATTATATATTTTTTACTTATTCTAATCAGAAATTGACCTTCAAACGTTTTCCGAGAGGACATATTTCTCCTCGGAAATAGTCAAACAATTCAGACGAAAGGAGAAGCCCCTCGGAAATAGTCAAATAGTCAAACAATTCTGACGGCATAAGAAGCCCCTCGGAAATAGTCAAACAATTCTGACGGAATGAGAAACCCCTCGGAAATAATCAGCCTATTTCCGACAAACGTACTTTTGGTGGTTAATAAAGTTGGCGCCAAGTCTTCTCTCCAAATAAATTACATTTCCGAGGCAATAAAGACTTTTTCCGAGGGTAGTTCCTTTGTCGGAAATAAATTTCAGGCCCATGGCATATTTCCAACGGACAACATTTGTTGGTCGGAAAAAACACTTCTACCGAGGGAATTTCAGGGCCCTCGAAAAATGTTGGTTGGAAATGAACCTCTTTTATTTTTTTTTTTTGGTAGTGTTGGTAAACATAATTTCATTATTTCCAGTAAATATGAGATCATCAACATAGATCATCAACATAGGACATCCAGATAAGCGCAAAGATGTCAGCGCAATTGACGCAGGCAACTGTTTTAGAGCAAATCCACGTAAGTCCAAATATGTCAGCCCAATGAGATTTCCAATTGACGCAGGCAACTCTTTTATAGGACATCCAGATAAGGCAATGAGATTTTGAATTACGGCAGGCAACTCTTTTATAGGACATCCATGTAAGCCCAAACCTGTCAGCCCAATGAGATTTCCAATTGACGCAGGCAACTCTTTTATAGCAGTTCTGAAAAGGTCCAATTTATTTAAGGATTCCACTTTGTCCATAATTTCTGGGAACCTCTCCAATTTTATGCAATTTCTAAGATCCAACTGTTCCAGAGATTTGCACCAAACTTCATTTGGAAACTTGGTGAGTTCACAGCAGCCATAAAAATTCAATACTTGAAGTTTATCAAGAGATCCAACAGATGGATGAACCTGAACTAAACTTTTACAATGGTTCGCATACAAGTACCTTAAGTTTGGGCTGCCGGATAGGTCGGAAATTTCAGTTAGGAATTCAGAGCCCGTTAAATTCAAAAATGTCAACTTTGTGAAATGCTGTGAAACCAAAAAAGAATTGAAATAATATTAATAATCAAATGGATAGCATTAAAGAAATTTACAACAAACATCAATTAATAAACAAGACCTCTTAAAGTACCTTCAATCCCTCCCCTCGTTGTTTGATGGGGCTGTAAGGAAGATTGAGCAACCTTAGTCCCTTTGGATGAAATTTGGGTGGAAAAGATTGGAGCGGACAACTATACCAATCAAGCACTCTCAACATGTTTGGGAGATAACCAATGTCTCCAGAAAGAAATACGTTATAGTTCATGAAAATTTTAAGATTTTTCATCTTCGAGAAGCAATCAACATTCAAGAATATCTCATAATCCTCTTTGGGGGAATTTAACATGATGCCTGTTATTTTTTTTGTTCCCTGACATAAAAAAGTAAAGGGACCATTGTTACAAAGCATTTAATAAAAAACATGCACGAGTTTTAAATTCTACTTTTTCTTCCAGATAAAAATAAAAATAAAAATAATAATTATACTTACTGTATCATTAGTCAGAACATGCTCGATATCTTCATGAGACCACAATCTGCTACGACCTCCAAGTTCATCGGGCGACTCTTGCTGAACTATGTCCTTACCCATCTGTTCTAGTAAGTCATGCATCCAAATATAATATCCTTCAACACTTATGAGTGCCTTTTCTACGAGTACTTCAATGCTATACCCAGCTTTGGGGTCACAAGCTACAAGTATTTCTGTCACATGCATTTTACTTTTACCCTTAAAGAAACATGCAATGTCAAGGAAAACCTGTTGTACGCTATGATCCAATGCATTGTAACTTATTTTGAGAACATTTTGAATTTTCGGGCTTTTGAAACCATGTATTGCACGTCGATGCAAATGTAAAAGCTTTCTCTCCTTTTTTTTTTCTTTTCTTTTTTTATGAACATCTGAATTCATGAAAAGCAAAAAGATATTTTTGGTCCCTAATTTGTTACTTTTATCATTTTAGTTCCTATTCTTTCAATTGGGTTAATTTTGTCACTTTCACCTTCATGAAAAGGTGAGGAACTTGCGGGAAAGAGGAGAGAGAAAAGGAGGGGGAAGAAAAGAAAAACAAAAAGGAGTTGAATGGAAGAAAAAAGGGGACGACCAGCTTTTGGTTTAATCAAACCAAAAGCTTGTTGACGATAAAACAACTCTCATACCAAATCATTAAAGGGAAAATAATGTAAAATTTGCTTTTCACCATTCTAAATTTTTTATTTTGATTTTAAAAAATGCAAAACTAAAATGTAATATAATTTATTTTTAAAAGGATGCTTTTTCTAGTAAGTGACTTTTTTTTTTCAAAGAACGTTTTATAAGCTAAATTAAGATAAAGGAGGATGGATTTTTTATTTTTTTATTTTATTGATTGAACTACGTCAAAGCAAAGTTGGAAATCTAAGAATACAGTTGGACTTGTGAAGTTGGTTGAGTTTGGTTGCAAAGATTAACACTATTCGAGTTCTTCTCTCATTAGCTGCAATTTTAGAGATAGGAAAGTTGTAATTCAAATAGAGATTTAAAAAGGGTACTTTCCTTCAACAAGGGAATCAACTTGTAATTCCTGCAATCTATCATTGCTTAATTTCTTTTTCTTCTTTTGTTATCCAAATATTGTTGTTAACACTTTAGGAGCTCTGTAGGGAGTATGATTGTAGATGCTCCCTATTTTTTAGTTAAAATTTAGCTAAAAACACACAAAAGCTATTTTAGAAGCTCTCTAAAAAATTTGAACTCCAATCATACTCCCTAGTTTAGGAAGCCATAAATACTATAATTATTTTTTAGTTCAATATAATTTGTCCGTCTCTATAAACAATAATATTAAAAAATAGTTGTCATTAATTAAAAGTTTAAAATATGCATAAAACAAAGCAGCATTAAATTATAGGGAACAACTAGAAGTCCTTTATCTCTCCTCAGATTTAGAAGCTCCTAGAGGTCTCCATATTTTAAGAGTTGGATAGGGAGCATAGTTGGAGATGCATTTTTCCAATTCCTCCCTAAAATTTGTCTGAGAAGCTGGTTTAGGGAGCCTATTGTGGATGCTCTTACACCATTTAATTTCTATAAACAAACCCAAAAAGCTCAAAAAAGGCCAATGGGTCGTATTGAATTTAATTTTGTTTATTAAACTACTTTGATGCCCTATTTAGTATTTTGAGTCTTTTTTATGAGGTTTTGGGGTTGGGCTTGTTTTAATAAATCAATGATAGTTTTGTAATTTATAGAAAGTTCGAAGTCTCTATATTATGTTGTAAATGGGCTTTGAGTGTATTTCAAAAGTCCATTTTATATATAGTATTTTTATTTTATAATTTGGGCTTATATATTGGTCATTATCGACTCGTCTTCAATGGCAAGGTCTTCCTTGTGGTGAAATTTAATGGGAAATAGCTCAAAATACCACCTATTTTATAATTTTTGTGTGAAAATACCACCCCTCCCCAATTTTTTTTGCAACTATCACCTATAAATACATTTTTGTTGTTCACTGATTGTACACATATCATTTTTTCAGAAATTATGTTCTCTCTCACCTCTCTTGGCTCCATCTCTCTCTTGGTTCTGTCTTTCTCTGTCGCTCAACTCTTACTCTCTCTTCGCTCTGTCTCTCTGTCGCTCAACTCTCAGTTTGTCTTCGCTCAGCTCTCACTCTCTCTTTGGTCTTTCTCAGCAGTCTCTTGCGCATCTCTCTCTCTCTCTCTCTCTGACGCAGTGGTCTTCCTCCCTCAGCGGTGTCTGTTCATCGAAGCTTAACTCCATCGTTCACATCCAAAAGGTACGGTTCATAATCATTTTCTTTGGGTTTAGGGGTTTCTTTGAAGTTGGTTTAGGGTGTATGGTTTCTATGAAATTGGTTTAGAGGTTTCTTCGAAATTGGTTTAGGGTTTAGGGGTTTCTCTGAAATTGGAAGGGGTTTCTCTAAAATTGGTTTAGGGTTTATGGGTTTCTAAAATTGGTTTAGGGGTTTCTCTGAATTTGGTTTAGGGTTTAGGGGTTACTCTAAAATTGTCTGATTGTGATGATTCCTTGTTTGAAAAAGTGAAGGAGTGTGTTCTTTGTTCTTTGTTTGAAACTGCTGCTGTTTTGCTGTTGTTATTAGTATCGTATTGCTGTTTTATTGCTGTTGAATTGCCATGTTAGTGGTATTATATTGGCATTGTAGTTCTGTTTTATTACTAGTTTATTATGGTTTTATTCCTGTTCCATTGTGGTTTTAATGGTTTTGGTGATTTATGCAATTAGATTATGTGTTTGTTTGTTGTTTTGTTTCATCCAAATAAGGGAAATTGTAGGTGTTCATTTATAGTCTCTACATTAGGCACCCTTCGAAGATCACATATTACCGACTCAAGCTTGCGATTGAGGCTTTAAGGGGGGAGGCATATATATGAGGTAAATATGATAATGTCAGTGAATTGAGTTATATCTTCACTTATCACTTGGGAATTCACTGTGCTCCTTAATTATGTTAGGAAATCTTTTATATGAAGATGCAAACATCGAAGCTGTGCTGGAGGTGCTTTCTATGGCCATCCATCCATTTTGATAGAGCTATTTGGTTTAGGTATTCTGTGTAGCGAGGTGAAATAATGGTCTTTAGCCATGTTGTACATGGTGAACATTTGGTCTGTGTAGTTTTCTTCATTTTTCTGTGCTCAATCCAATCATATACATAACACAAAATTTGCATAATGGGTAGAAAACTTAAAGGTCAAAAAATGGACATATGGCAAAACTGAAAAATAGAGGCAGTGTATAATTTGTTTATGCCTAAAACGCAATAAAATAGCGATACCTTGGTGATACAAGAGCGATATAGTGGAGATAAAAGGGTGCTAGAAATTGCTGTTTGTGTTTATTTTGGGTTTCTTGTTTTGTTTCATTTCATTTACTTATCTTGACTCATTACTAGTTAATAATTGGATGATTACGAGATTAATTTGTGTCAATTATTAATACAAGAATTACATATATGAAGATTAAACCGAACAACATCCATATTTTAGATATGCAAAAGGAAAAGCATTATATAAGGGGGTTAGAAATTTACTCATCCAAAGTAAACCCTGACAAATCCCCGAAGCTACATCTCTGATTCCGTACATCTGATGGATTCACCTTGTAAAAAACTGGGATGACCCGTTGTTGATTTGATTCTTTGCAGTCAAGAATCTTAACAAGTTCATCCAAACACCATCTTGAAGAGGCATAGTTTTTTTTGAGTAAATTTAGGTTTTACCCATAAAAAAATTTTCACTTTTGGAAAAAGGCAAAGCTTTTTCAAAAAAGACAGAAAAACCTCTCAACTTTCAAATCAAAGACATGCAAGTGTAAATGATTTCTAAGGAAATCCAAAAATAAATAAGGGCAAATTTGTCTATTTTGGCTTCTTTTACAAAATTTCTCTCTCCTTTGGGTTTTTCCAAAGTCTCCCTAGTTTTTGGAGAACACAATGACAGAAATCTTTGATTCTTCAATTGCTGTGAGAAGCGTGCGTGATATTTCTTCTCCTCTTCCGAGGTCATCATCATCCCTGAAGGTGTTAATCCCTCGTTGACATAAAGCGCTATACAAATGGTCTGTGAAGTTGTGGCGCGTGTCTTCGCCTCTGAAGCTCAGAAATACTTGGTCTTCCCGTGACTTTGGGAAAGAAGCAGAGGAAGAAGAGGCTCGTTGGTTGGCCATGGAAGCCATCATAATTGTTTCAGTGTTTGCTTCTCTCTTCACAAAAAAGATGAGCCTTACTTGGAGAGTTTGGGTGTGCGTGAGCAAAATGTGAATTCATGAAATGGTGAGGAAGTGTCGCTGAAACTTCCAGTCCTCAATTATTGACGCGTTTTCCACCACACATGGTTTTCCAGTCCTACAAATTCCCGGACACTAGCTGTCAATCAATTTTGGGCTTGGTTTTATTTTCCTGACTTTCTTCCTTTTCTCAATTACTTTTGAGCTGAAATTAGATAAAGCGTTTATCAACTTGATTTATTGATGTAATAATCGGATGTTTGCTAACACGAAAAAATATATGGTGAGGAAGTGTCGCTGAATCTCCGATGCAAATGTAAAAGCTTTCTCTCTTTTATTTTTATTTTTTTTATGAACATCTGAATTCATGAAAAGCAAAAAAATATTTTTGGTCCCTAATTTGTCACTTTTATCACTTTGGTTCCTGTTGTTTCAAGGGAAATATCTCAAAATGCCACCCTTTTGATAATTTTAACTGAAAATATCACCCCTCTCCAATTTTTTTACAATTATCACCTATAAATACATACTTTTTGTTCATTTATTGGCCAGATAACACTTTTGGTTAGTTTTTGGTTTCTCTCTCAGCTCTCTCTTCGCTCTCTCTCAACTCTATCTCACAGTTCTCTCTCTCTCTCTCTCTCTCCACGCCTCTTCTCAC